ACATCGGTTCCGACCACAATCCTGTTGTTGGTAAAATTTCAATTAACCTAAAGAAAATCAAATACAGAGAGAAGATAAAACCTAGCCTCAAAAAACTTAAAGATCCAATGGTACAGGCAGAAATAGAGAAAACACTCAATGATACACTCAAAGAAAAGTTCAGTGAAGCACCCGCAGAAGCGGAAGAAACAATAGAAAGTATTTGGCACATCTTCAAAACAACAATCACAACTATACAAAGAGAACAACTACAAGACAGCATCAGAAAAACAAAGAATACATGGATGACAGAAAAAGTCCTAGAACTGATGGATATAAGGAGATCTTACAAAAATAGCAATGAAGAAAAATATAAAGAAACCCAGAGAATCATCCGAAACAAAATTAGTGAGGAACTGGGAGATTTACTAAAAAAGCATGACTACTTTAATGCATACAAAAATATTAAGGAAGTCACAAATATGAAAAAAAAGTCACTACAACTTTAGTAGATGATAACAACGAAATAGTATCTAGTCCAGAAAATGTAGGAAATATGTGGGAAAAATACATCGAAGATCTGTTTAATGACGAAAGAACAGAACCACAAATGAATATAGTACAAGAAACAATACTTGATATATTAACATCACAAGTTACAAAAACAATCTGCCAAGAAAGCCACGAAAAGCCTCAGATACAGATGAAATATACGTAGAGATGATAAAACTTACCAATGAAGAAAATCTTCAGACGTTAATAATATTATTGAACAAAATATATACCACTGGAATCTTCCCAGAAGACTGGCTTAGATCGACATTTATACCTATACCCAAGAAAAATAGAGCAAATAGATGCTCACAGTTCAGATTAATTAGCCTGATGGGCCATTTTCTGAAAATTTTACTCAAAATTGTAGATCAACGAATATACAGAGAATGCGAAAGAAACCTGAGCGACAATCAATTTGGATTTCGGATGGGGCTTGATACAAGGGAGGCATTATTTGGCCTCCAGATATTACAAAAATGCCGAGATCAGCGAAAAGATGTTTCTCTGTTTTATCGATTACGAAAAAGCGTTTGATAGAGTAAAACACACAGAACTCATAGAAACCCTAACACAACATGGAGACCATAGACCATAACAGTGTAGCACTTATTAAAAAACTATATTGGGATCAAATGGCGTCGATCAAAATAGACAATCGTCTGACAGCAGAATTGCCAATAAAAAGATCAGTTCGTCAGGGCTGTGTACTTTCTCCACTGTTATTTAATATATATTCCGAAAAGATCTTTCAAAATGCCCTAGAAAATATTGAAGAAGGAATAAAAATCAACGGAGAATACGTAAACAACTTAAGATACGCAGACGACACCGTCATTATTGCGGACAGTGCTGATGGTTTACAACGACTTTTGAATTTCATAACCAGAGAGGGAGATAGCTTGGGACTAAATATAAATATTGTTCTGAAGCTATTTTCTTGTGGCATTTTAAATTAATTACTATTTACCTGGGAATAAGCTACAATTAAAGGTAAAAATACGTTTATTGCCGTTTCTATTTCCGAATTTTATTTTCCGAATGGGAAAGTGAAACGTCAATAAACGTATTTTTACCTTTAATTGTGGCTTATTCCCAGTTAAATAGTAATTAAACTAAACATAAACACAAATAAAACAAAAGTAATGGCTGTTACACGTGCACCAAATGTCGACATTAATATTCGTTTCTATAACAAACATATAGAACCAGTACAAAGATTCCAGTATCTTGGTTGCTGGATAACAAACGATCTTGACCACGAGGTCGAAATACGTGCTCGTATAGAATATGCTAGGTCCGCATTTCAACGAATGAAAAAATTCCTAATAAACTCTACGTTATCGTTGGATATCCGATACCAATTTGTAAAACCGTTTATTTATTCCATATTGCTATACGGAGTGGAAACATAGACTCTCGGAATTACAAGTATGAGGCGTATAGAAGCCTTTGATGTGGGTTGTTTAAAGGATGCTGAAGATCTCTTGGACAGAGTACGTGACCAACAACGAGGTGCTAAGAAGAATGGGCACTGAAAGAGAACTCCTAAATATTGTAAAAAACAAGAAAATGAGTTATCTAGGACATATTTACAGAGGAGAAAAATACAACTCCCTACGACTTATAATGGAAGGGAAAGTGGAAGGAAGAAGAGGTCCAGGAAGAAAAAAATGCTCCTGGTTGAAGAATGTAAGAGACTGGACATGTATGGGCACACATTCGATACTAAGAACAGCTCAAGATAGAGAGCAATTTGCTGTAATTATGGCCAACATTCAGTAATGGAGAAGGCACCTTAAGAAGAAGAAGATACGTATAACATTTCGAAGAACGTTTAAAAATACACATTTAGATTTGTATACGAAATTGTTCATTCGAGTTAACTCGTATACAAACAAACTCAATTGAATTCGAAAATACAACCCCTGGCTCCAATGAATTGTAACACCCGAAAGTCATTCTAAGGTGTGTGCAAGTTTCTCTACTGGGCTTAATCGAATTGCTTGCTTGCTTGCTACTCATTTTACCCTAAAATATTAAATTGATACAATAAAAATAATAAAAAAACACAGTCACTCCATGCATCGCCATTCATAACGCTGTGTTGATTTCAAAAATTCACGAATTGATGAACGTTTTTTTCTCTACAGCTAGGGCTAATCGGGTTTATTATCGCTTTGCAGACTAACCGTGTGTTTTCAGTTTTAATTTGATTTGATTCCTACTTGTTTTGATTCCTTTTGTTGGGGCAGTTGATATTATTTGATTGTAATGGGTGGAGAATTTGTATATCTTGTCTCTCTTGTCGATACAAAAATGATTACAAATAACAAAAATACACGAATCCTCCATATTAACAGATGCTATTCTCCATTCGCTTAGCTAGGGCATATTTTGACAGACTCATTGTCGGAAACCTACAACACAACAATTCCTACTTCTCAGTATTAATAGCTCAAGTATACTACTATTGCAGACTTCTTTCTTTGAAAAAAAGAAGAATTATTCTAAATAGTGGAAGTGTATACTAAACCCATCAAATTTTCCCTGTATATTTAAAATATACTATTTGAGTTACTATAATTTATTATTATATTGTAGTAAATATTGTTGTTAGTTCTATTTAGTTTATTTAGTTATAGTTCTATTTTGAATTTTATTATTAGGGATAGTCAAAGTTTTCCATTTGTTCTATCAGATAATGCGTTGGTAAGTTTTTCTTAAATAAATATGATAAATGTTCTTTAAAAGTTAATATTTTTAGATGATTAAGGATGCTGTTAAATTACAAGGTAATCAACCTGCACAAAGATTTATTCAAAACACCAACCATTTTTTTAATTATTTGCTCATTCGGCGTAGGTTGATCACTAAAATATATTTATGAAGTTCTGTAAATATATTCTTAATAACAAAAACATTTCAGTTAACATCCATGTATAAAGTTTCTATTATATATAAAATGTATATTATATATAAAAAATATATTTTATAAAAAAGTTACAGTAATTTAGTTTATACCGTTAAGTTGCCCCAAATGTAGGCAACCAACTTAAACTTTTTTGGCACTTAGCTGGAGTTTCTTGAGAATATTTTTAATAAACGTTTAATATTTTCCAGTTCATTTATTATTTTTTAAAAGTCATGATAATAATGCTGAATAAGCAATATTTTAAATGATATTTAATCACAAAAGTACTTAATATTATTTTATATAATCTTCATAAAGTACGTTTCTAATAGAAATTAGCTAAAATTAGAAAAAAAACTAGTTTATGATAGTAATAATAGAATATTATAATATTTTTGAATTATATTTTTGATGATATTGTATTATATTTTTGATGCATAATATTTTTTAATTATAATATGAATATTATATTTTTTATCTAACGTACTTTATGAGGATTATATTACATAACACAATATTAAGTACGTCTTGTGATTATATATCATTTGAAATATGGCTTATTCAACATTATTATCATCACTTTAAAAAATAATAATAAAATTAAATATATTCTCAAGAAACTTCAGCATAAATGCTAACAAAAAGTTTAAGTTGGTTGCCTATATTTGGCGTAACCTAACGATATAAACTAAATTACGGTAACTTTTTTATAAAATATATTTTTTACATATAATAGAAACTTACTATCTTTATACGTGCTATAAATTTCTTAGTCATATAACTTTGCAAAAGAGGTCGACGAAATACTTTAATGAAATGCGCTATGAGAACGTGTGCTTGGTTGTATAGTAATTTCCAGCCACTTCTAGTCTGTCAAAAAGTAACTAACTTCGTAAAAACATAATTACTAAAATCACTAGACAGTTCGGACTGGGCTTAGCGAACCGGGTATACTTTTGTTTATCAAAACAACTAAAATCAAGGATTATCTCGAAAAATACAAAACTAAAATGTATAAAACTCTGATAAGACCAGTTTTATTTAACATATGGCCCAGAGACTACTCAAAAATATAAAAATGTACTGGAAACTTTTAATGACAATGAATTATGGAGGAAACAATTTAACTTTGAGCTATACCACATATACAAGAAAATCATCAAACTGATATAGGTGGAGCATGTCTTAAGGATAAGTGATAAAGATAAAGATTTCTGTTCGGAAATCGGTGTTTGAAAAACCTGTGCAACAAAAATAACGTGGAATGAATAACGCTTCCTGTACGATGTGGAAGCAGGTTTACAAATTCACTGGGACTGGATTTGCAGCTGTTAAAATTTAGATTGTCTACTATTTTTTATTTATAAATATTTGGATTCTTTTTCAATAAAACAAGGGAAATATGGTGTTTTCATGTCTCTAAGACTGAAAATTATACAATTATTATTACAATGTATTATTATAATAATTCTTACAATGATAAGAAGGTATTTTTGACCAACTTTGATTTGACAATCGAAATGCCAAATAAGATTCAATTCTACTACAAGTTTACCTTTTTCAATATAATTCTTCGGTACCCATCCAGGCAAATCCTCCTCATCAGGTACGATCGGCATCACGCCAGAAGTGCGTGGCCTTCCGAACGATTCGTGCTCATCTTCTGGTGGAGGCGGCGGTGGAAGTGGAGGTGATTGTGCGCCGCTGTTCTGTCGCCCGAAGTTTTGTGCTAACTGTTGGGAGATACGATGCCCTTGTGCGTGGGATAACGTATGCATACCGAGACTACCTTGTGGAACGGGAACATGGTGTCCGCCCATCATCATCGGATGCTGTTGGTTTGAAGACAGCACCATTTCTTGGGTGTTGATCAGTGGGGACGGAGGAGCTACAATGGAATTATATAATTTGAAACAAAATAAAAATGTATTCCACATATAGTCAATATCACAAAGAAAGAATATATATATATATATATATATATATATATATATATATATATATATATATATATATATATATATATATATATATATATATATATATATATATATATATATATATATATATATGTAGGAATTATCAGGTAGTGGTGTACACTATAAAGCAATTTTAACATTACAAATAAATGACGTACAAATAGATTTAAAAACACTTACAGAAATTAAACGATTTCAAAAATAAAAACTGACATTAAAGTATGTAAAATATTGCATGTTAATGCATGTTCGTTACAGTAATATAGTACAGTGAATGAAGGTAAAAATCAACTATTACCTCCGATTTCGATTACATCGATTTGCATGAAAATTTGGGATTAAGTATATTTTACCCTCAACTTCAAAAGTGATATATGCTCAACTGGCGCTTTTTGCATTTTAGGGGTGAAATCCACCCCTTTTGTCAAAAATGATAAAAAATGCAGTTTTAAGCATTCTGGCATAAGTAATCTCGATTAATTAAATAAACTAAATATTTTGTAACATTTATAAGCATGATTTATGATTTTAATTAATTTTCAACCCTTTTAGCAACTATCCCTTAAATCTAAAATTAGTAAAAAATCTTTTTTATACTTCTGAAATATCAAATCGCATATTAATATTACCCAAATAGTTTCTTTAATGTTTATGATATAAATTTTAATTGATTGAAATTTCAACCCTTAAAAACCACCCCCTTAAAACAGAATCATTGAAAAAATTAATTTCAAGAAACTTTATTTGAATAATACATTACTGAATTGAAATCTTATTTACTGAGTATTAAAGTATTTATTTATTGCGTAATTTTACACACTTAAAAACTAACTATTGTCATAAAAATAATGGAAAATGTTTTTTATTAGCTTTAATCATTTAGAAACTTTTTTATTGGTTATGATAAACTTTATTAATATTATTCTTTCCGCATTTCCTGGACAATTTTTTCAGTGCTTATTTGATTTATACAAATTTAATTTGTTAGTTAAGAGGAAAAGTATTAAAATAAATATTAAAATATATGAAAAGTTCATTCATTTTTTATTTAAGTAATGTTTCATAAATTAATCAAATATTAACTAAACTTTAATTGTTAATTTTTCACTCTTCATCAGAGCTTTCTTCACCAATTTCTCCTTTTTTATTAATTGGGGGGCTATTTTAGCAATTGTTCCCACTGCATGATCCGCAGACTGCATTGCAAAATATCCCTACTCTTCGACACCCGCAAGAAGCGCCGCACCCTTTTTTGCAGCTGCAAAAAATCATTTTTAACAATTCTTCTGGAGCAGGTGGATTGGGATTATTAGTTGAAAACAAAGACAACAAACAAAGTCTTCAATTTTGCGCCATCCCCAGTCAACTGAACGAATGTCTATTTCCAAGTCATATCTGGGTTTGTAAATAAACTCTTTTGTTAATTTTTATGAAATCAGGTTCATTCAAAAACCATTTGAAAGGTAATTTTAAGGGATATAAAGTCGTATTAAATTTAATCTTTTAAATCCCTTATTTTTTAAAAGATAAAAGGTTAAAGGGCCCCGGTTACATGGTTCTCGCAGTAAAATTTAGGTTTTAAACCTTTTTATCTCAGTTAAAGTTATAAATAAATATATTTATATAAATTCGAACCGCTCGTTTTATTTAAAAAACGGTACAGTTGGTGTCCGGTGTGAGATTTGAAAATAGTCAACAGTGACTTCTGAAAAAGACTTTTGAACTTTTGAAAAGTATTGTTCGTCGGGAACATCCGCGTAGTTCGGTAGTGATCGTTGTACGAAAGAACATTTAAAAAGTACGTGTGTGCCCGACCAAAGATGCTGCTAGTACAACTTTCAGTAAAACAGTTGCGTGAGCAACTAGAAGAAAGCGATGAAGATTGCAGCGGGTCCAAGAAGATCCTCCAAGAACGACTACAGAATGTTCTTAACAAGAATGGAGATGACCCAGAGACATTCCAGTTTCAATCATCAGAAGAAACAGTTTTAACAAAAATAAATGAGAAATTTGAAAATGTCTCGCAAATAATTGAAGAATCTTCTAAAAACACTGATGATAAATTAGAGAACGTTTCCAAAAGATTCGATGAGAAATTCGAAAATGTATCTCAAAGATTCGACGAGAAATTTGAAAATGTTTCTCAAATGATGGAAGAAACTTCTAAAAAGAACAATGAAAAATTTGAAGAAGTTTCTAAAACATTTGATAAGATACAGAAAAATGTAAACGACAAGATAGAAGACGTAGAAGAGAAGATCAAACAGTTAGAGAGCATGATAACTAACACAAAAATGCTACCACCAGTTAACACAGTAGCCTTAGAACCGGCAGTGAAAGAAGAATCACCTAGAGACGAAATGACACATCATATGAGATTCAAATTGCCACCATTTGATGGAAAGTCCTCTTGGTCCATATACATTAGACAATTTGAAGCTATTGCAACAGCCAATCATTGGACAGAACAAGAAAAGGCTGTTTCGTTGACTGCTGCTTTACGAGGTGATGCTGCAGATATCCTAAGATCGATTCCTAAGGGTCAAGAAAAATGTTACCAGACCTTGTTCACTCGACTAGACAAACGTTACGGAGATGCCATCTACAACAAGTCTACAAAGTACAAATAAGAAGTAGAATTCAACGAGCAAGTGAGAGTTTGCAAGAATTTGAAGCAGATATTGCTCGTATAGCGCTGTTGGCCTATCCAGAGGCACCAGACAACATTTTGGAAGAAATTGCTGTAGATGCCTTCGTCAATGGGTTGAAAGACAGTGAACTACAGAAAGCTTTACGACTAGCAAGACCGAAAGTTTTAGATGAAGCGCTCGCCATTGCCTTGGAACATGAGATAGCTAGTCGAGTTTCACGGAGCTATCAAGTACGAACCTCTGAAGAAAGTGACGAACGAAACGATAAACGTCTGGAGGAAATCGTACGGAAAGTAGTTCGTAACATGATGCCGAAGAGACGTGAACCCAGATGTTGGAATGGTAACAACGAAGGTCACATTCGCCACAAAGTGCAAGAAAATAATACAACAGTCAGAAAGCTAGAACAGATCGAGCACGCTAGAAAAAGTCATTCAAATGCTGATGTTCAATCAAGACGGCCATACAGTGAAAATCGTAATCATTGTCTTAAATTAGAAGAACGACTTTGCCCCGTGAGGCGAACCACCGTTATTAATGATCAATGGCAGCCTCAACAGCTACAAGACGCTCAAGCAGATGATCCATGTATAAAAAGAGTATTGGATTGGGTGCGTCGAAGTGAAAGACCTTCTTGGCAAGACATTAGTGCATGTAGTCCCGAAGTCAAGTGTTACTGGAGCCAAGGGAATTGCCTAGTGCTGAAAGATGATCTTCTGTATAGAACCTTTGAGAACGATGATGGTGCAGAAACTAAGCTTCAGTTGATTGTACCTAAAAGTAAAGTGTCAGAAGTATTGCGTCAGTTGCATGACGGTGCATCAGGTGGACACTTTGGTATTACGAAGACTCTGCAAAAGGTTCGAGAACGGTTCTATTGGGTGAACTGTAAAGATGATGTAAGAAGATGGTGCCGGAAATGTGAACTGTGTGCAACTAGTAATGGTCCAGTTGGTAAAAAGAGGGCACCCATGAAACAGTACAATGTTGGTAGTCCTATGGAAAGAGTAGCAATCGACATTGCAGGTCCACTTCCAGAGACAAACGATGGGAATAAATATATCCTGGTAGCCATGGATTATTTTACAAAATGGACTGAGGCCTATGCGATACCAAATCAGGAAGCTGCTACCGTTGCAGAGGTACTTATTAAAGAATTCTTTAGCCGATTTGGTGTTCCCTTGGAGATCCACTCCGACCAAGGGCAAAACTTCGAGTCGACCCTTTTCCAAAACGTTTGTAAATTGATTGGTGTCAATAAGACCAGAACGACATCCCTGTATCATCAATCAGATGGAATGGTCGAGAGAATGAACCGAACGATGGGTAGACACCTGTCCAAAGTTGTATCAGAACATCAAAGAGATTGGGACCAGCACATTCATTTATTCCTAATGGCCTACCGCTCGGCCGTGAATGAAACTACCGGCCAGACTCCAACCTGCCTGATGTTAGGTCGTGAAGTTCGTTTGCCCTGCGACCTAGAGTTTGGCTCCAGACCTTCCGAAGAACATGTTGCAAGCGAAGATTATGTCGACTAGTCTAGGCGGGATCTGTTTTGGATTGGAAATTTTCGAGGGAAGCTATTTTTTTTGCTGGAATCCCTTCAGGATATGCCCAGTATCGATAATCACGATATGCGCCAGTCGCAAACCCTGTGCTAAATTTTTTATTTAACAAAATCTGAAAACAATTGAAAATTTCTCATTTTTTTGCTCCTATTTTCATTTATAATTCGAAGAATATTGATCATAGAGAAAAAATTATAAGTAGTTAAAAGTTTCGTTATTAAATTTTACACAATATTTTGTTAGCTAGAAATTGAAAATTTAATGGTTATTGTTGAAAAAATAGCAATAATTGGAAAAAAAGTACAAAAAAATGAAGTTAATCCTTTAAATGTTTTCGACTTTCTAAACTTGACTTACAAGTTCCATATTCCGCCTAGAAAAACTTTTTAATATGTTTAAAACGTGTGCTAAATTTTGTTAAGATCGGTCGGATAGGTTTTGCATAATAATTTTGCAATCCAGCCTACTGGAAAAAAATCGCAAATTTTCAAATTCATAGTAGGCCCTAAATAAGGCCTTCAGATAATTGCAATTTTTTTTTACATATAAAGGAAGTCTCACACTTTCAAACGCTTTTTGTAAAATTCAAATCGGTTTACTAGGAAAGCCTATAATTTTTTTGAAAATTATAAACATTTTTTAGGCTTATAAACAAATTAAATAACTTTACGAGCTTTAAACATATCA